TATAGAAATTCCCTGAGTTTCTGTCCATGGCCCAAACCAAAAAATTCAAGGAATTTGTCATTTAAACTATCCAGAACAGTGATTAGTGGCCATCCTATCCCACAATTCTTAAAATTTTGTGCAATCATCACCACAATGTAATTTTACATTTTTATCACCTTGAAAAGAAATCCTGTACCCATTAGCAGTCATTTTCCATGTTCCCCTTAACCTTCCAGCCCTTCACAACCATGAATCTACTTTCTGTCTACAGATTTACCTATTCTGGCCAGTTCATACAAGTGTAATCATAATAATATGTGGCCTATTGTGTCTGGTTTCTCTCACTGAGCATAATACTTTCAAGGTTCTTCTATGTTGTAACATGTATCACGATTTCATTCCTTTTTATAGCCAAATAATATTCCATTGCATGGATATATTACATTTTGTTTATGCACTCATGTGTTAATGGACATTTGAGTTGATTCCACCTTTTGGCTATTGTGAATAGTCCTGCTATGAAGAGATGAGCACAAGCGTTTGTTTAAACACCTATTTTCAGTTATTTGGGATTTATACCTAGGAGTGGAATTGCTGAGTCATATGGTAATTCTATGTTTAGCCTTTTGAGGAACTGCCGGTCGGTTTTCTACAGCAGCTGCATCACTGTACTTGATGATGGAATGCTGCTTCGCATGCCCACCTTCATGACTTGGTTGGTCAGACAACACCCAGTTCATAATGGGAAGCTCAGGTCTTGAGATCACTTGCATCCTGTGGTCATTCAGTCTCGATCAAGGACTAAAGCAAATTGGGAGCTTTTCATCCTGGCAAATTGTTTGTTTGTGGAGGTCTTAGCTTTATTTTTATCCCAAATTCCAGAAGCTTGAGCTGTCAGTCTCTTAAGAAGGCTTGGAAAAGGCTCTGTGTAGCATCGTAATGGGACATGTCACCTCCAGAAGGAGGCCCACCAAGGGTCAATCTTTTTTCTTAGTTGCAGAGGGTTCGGGGTGCAGCAACTTGTCTTTCTCTTTGAAGAACATCTCAACATGCCTCAGTCATTCATGTAGTGGACCAGCATGATGTCTTGGGGGACACTGAGAGGATTAAGTCAGTCCCTGAGGACTCAATTATGATAATGTGCCAGAGAATGGAAGGGATAGTACCAGAAGCTTCCTTTTGACATTGCCTACCATAATCTCCCCAGTGCTCAAATCAGGAAGCTCCTGTGGGAATTTGTCCAGCAGCCACTGGCATTTATTCCAATTATGCATTCAAGAACTGGGGAGAGAGCCATGGCATGGCCCACAGTAAGAGGGATGTGAGCTAAGATTTCACTTTTGACCAGTGGACCACAGTGGCATTCTATGTCCCCAGGGGTTAGCACAGGCTAATGCAGGCCCCTGGTAAATGGCCATGGGTCCAGGGGAAAGTAGGAGGAAGGTTTAAAGTACACACCTGTACTGTTACTTGTATCTGGCCTCACCTTCATTCGAGAGCTCTGGCCTGTGGATGGACTAGGTCTGGAAATTAGATGAGGGGCCATGATTTTCCATTGTGGTGATTCAAGGCAAGATGCCTTTAGCCAGACCTAGAGTTTTTGTTGCTGTGGCCTACTATAGGAGACCAAAGATTCTTGGGGAGAAACCAGTTTGGTTCCAGCTTCCAGCCCTGCTGCCCATCATGACACCCAGGCTCATTCTGTTCCTATAAGATTTAGTGACATCACTTGACCTCTGCTGCTCCAGGATCCCATCATCTCCACCAAGATCACAAGGCTGTTTCCATGGTGACACCTCTCACCTTCTTTCCCAGACTAGTTTTCCAGAACCTTCACCAAAGTACGCCTCAATGTTTGGGCAAAAGAAATGTCCTTTGAGCCTTCTTAGGGGATGTAGTTAAAGGGTGAGTCTTTGGACTGGAGTTAATGAGGGATGGGAGGAGCAGAGCACAAGGGGAACTGCCATCCCCTTGCTAGGTAGCTGTCCAGGTTATTTTATTACGTGGTCTCCAAGAAAGGCAGGATCAGTCTCATTGGACAGAGCAGGAGCTGCTCCTACTGGTAAGGGAAAGTGCATGGGGTTTCTGGGTTCAGAGTATGCAGATTCATCCAACAAATACTTACTGAGCATCTTCTAGGAGTTGTGTTTATAGCAGTGAACAAAATAGACACATGTTTCCCGCCTTCATAAAGCTAACATTCTAGTGAAGAGACTGACAATAAACAAGGTACATTCAAGGCAGAGGGAGGAGCAGGTGTGAAAGCCCTGAGGTGGGGGAGTGTCCCTGGATTAGTCATAAACAACCAGGAGGCAGCGTGGCAGGAGAGGGTGAGTAAGAGCGTGAGTGGAAGGAGATGGACTCAGAAAGAGAATTGGGGGCAGATTTTCACAGGCTTTGGCTTTTACTCTTATTGAGATGGTATATTAGTTTCCTTGGGCTGTTGTAACAAATTATCCCCCAAACCAGGTGGCTTAAAACAACAGAAATTTATTCGTTTACAGTTCTGGAGGCTAGAAGTCTGATCAGTCCAATCTCTGCCTCTGTCTTCACATGACCTTCTTTCTGTTTCTCTTCTGTCTCTTTTAAGGACACCTGTCATTGAATTTAGAGCCCACCCAGGTAATGCAGGATGATCTTGTCCTGAGATCCTTAACTTCATTACATCTGCAAAGGCCCTTTTTCCTAATAAGGTCACATTCACAGGGCCTAGAGCTTAGGACATGGACATAGCTTTTTTTCGGGGGAGGGGGCTCCGTTCAATCCACTACATATGGGAAACCACTGAAGGGTTTTGAGCACAAGAGGCACATGACCTAACTTACGGTTTATTGGCTCTTTCGAGCTGCGGTGTTGAGGAGATAGTAGTTGGGAAAAGTAGAAGCAAGTGGACCTGCAGGAGACCACGGGAAAAATCTAGGAGAGCCATATGGTGGCATGGATTACAGTGACAGCAGTAAGGGTGGTGAGAAGCCATCAGATTCTGGATCTCTTGAAAACAAAGCAGATCGACTTCGCTAACAGATTTGAAGAGGGGAGTGTGAGAAAGATGAAGCCCGTAGGAGAATCATCAGTGAACAACTCAAATTCACTCAGCCAGATATGTACAAAGAAGTATTATAAAATGGGGAAGTAATAAACTACTTATGGATTGGCTGACACTGGGGACTTCGGTTATCTATAAAAAGTCAATTTACATCACTATCATCCTTACCTCGCACCAAAATAAACTCTACCAGCACCACCTCTAACCAACTGAGCTAACCGGCCAGTGCATCAAGTAAATTCTAGATAGAATAAAAGTTAGGTGAGGAAAAGCTAATCATTTATTTTTTTTAAAGCCATATTAAGATAAAATTGAAAAACAAAATTCTCTTCTTTGCATTGCAGAGGAGGAGCGGAAGAAAAGCAATAGCTGTCCACGGAGGCCAGGTTATGAATCCCCGACAGAAAGCGGGAAGACAGGAGCGTGGAGAGCTCGAACCAGGAACCGCTAGTTCCTGGCCGTCCACTAGCGACCTGGGGCCATCGAGCACTTGACGTGTGGCCCGATCGTTGAGTTCGAATCGAGGTGTGCTACGAGTTTAAAACACACACCGGAAAGACTTCGAGGAAAATAAAAACAAAAACAAAAACTAAAACATCCCATTCATATTGTCGCGTACTGCTTATATGTTGAAATGCTAATATTTCGGATAGGTTGGGTTAAACAAAAATCATTATTAAAATCAATGTCACCTTTTTCTTTTTACTGTTTTTCCATGTGGCTGCTGGAAAATTTAAAAGTGCACAAGGTGGGCCGCACTCTACTCCTATTGGCCAGCGGCGCTCTGGCTAGATGGGAACTGCACGCAGCAAAGGACTGTCAACGTCTCCCTGCCTCCGCGTCTTCATGTTTCACCCGGGACTGACCCAACCCCAATCCGAAAGGCTCGGCCTGACAGGAGCTAGTCTTCACAGCGCACTCCGCCGGGTGTCCGGGAGTCCGGGTGCCGGAGCGGGACTGAACCCGAGAGCAGGTGTCCAAGCAACG